TTTGGTGCTGGGGATTGATCCCAGGGCCTTGTGCATGTGAGGCAAGCACTCTACCAACTGAGCTATATCCCCAGCCCGGAACTCACCTTTTACATGACACTGGAATTGGTCTTCTTTGATCTTCTTCCCCAGTGTGGTAGGATGATCCTTCAAAATTGTCCTGGTCACTCTTTTCTAAGCACAATGGAAAAGAGTTAAGATTCCTTTTCTTTTTTTTAATATTTATTTTTTAGGTGTAGATGGACACAACACAATGACTTTATTTTTATGTGGTGCTGAGGATCGAACCTGGGTCCTGCCCATGCTAGGCGAGCGCTCTACCGCTGAACCACAATCCCAGCCCTAAGATTCCTTTACTTAACTCTTTTCCATTGTGCTTAGAAAAGGGGAAAAAAAATGCTATCAAATATCTAACAGCCAAGATCAAAGTGTATCAGGTTTTATTCTTCTTTTCCTGAAACTCTTGTTTTTCAAGGCATGCCTTTCTTTCCTTTTTCTGAAACTCTTGAACAGGACCACCCTCTCATACCCCCACCACCTAAGTGGCAAATACTGCTTTCCAGTATTTGCCCTAGGAGTAATTTATTTAGTGCCCTGAAGTGGACTTAAAGGTTTCCGGGCTTCCTGCATACCTAATATTTATTTATTTAAAAGTTTGTATTTTGAATTACTTTTAGGCTTAAATACCTACAAAAAGAGAATTCCCATATACTTTTTTTTTTTTTTTTTTGGTGCTGAGGATTGAACCCATGGCTTTGTTCATGCCAGGCAAGCACTCTACCAACTCATCTATATCCCCAACCCGGAATTCACATGTACTCTTAAGCCAGCTTTTACAAATGTTATCATTTTGTATAATTTCAAGGCCTATCTATCCATGCCTTTTTAATTTTTCTCTACTGAATTATTCTCATCAATATGAAACATGCTATAATTTCTACCATTTTCAAAAGAAACAATCATGTCAAATGCATATTTGACATTTCCACATTTGGTATATAACTGTCTCAAGTGCTGAGGTCTAAAACAGAACCCATAATTGGTCCAACCAAACCTACTCTTCCTACATCCTTCTTCATGTTAAAAAGTGAGAGCCTCATATTTTGCTTTGCTCAAGCCATAGATCTTGGAATCTTCTTGTCTTCTTTGTTGTTTTTTTCTTTTCTACTTAAAAATAAGCAAATCTGGTCATCCCTTTTGAATCCAAACAGTCTCGTCACCTCCCTGACTACCACACTAATTCAGCCCACCCTACCCCTTGCCTGGATTATTGTAGTTTTCTTCTCACTGGTCTCCCTGCTTGTCCCTTGTTTCCTATGGCCCATTTTCCATGAATGACCTTTTTAAATGTGAAAACAAATTATGCCATTCATTGGCTTAAAAAGTTTCAGTGGCTTCCTATCTTATCAAGAATAAAAACCAAAGTTCTAACAGTTGCCAATAAATCCTATGTGACCAGATGAGCTTCTGGCCCTATTCCTCTTGGATACTTCCGCCTGGCTACTCCTGACCCCTTTCTCTTTATTGATCAAAAAAA